TCAGGAAATTATAGCAGAGTTTACTGTGCGAGACTTGATTTTTTTTTTTTTTTCTTTTGGTGGGCTTGAATAGGCTTAACATGTTCTTCATGTTTACAATTCATCTGCAGTTTGGCAGACAACTCTAAGAATAACAAGTTGAAATATGCTCTGTATTTTGGGATGCGTTGTCATGTGAGGCAAAGAAACAAGCCCTATTGCCTGACAATTTGCAAGGATGGTCCTCACAAGAGATAAGAATTTATTAGATTAAATTAAGACAGAAGAAATGTTTGCTTAGAAAAGGCATATTTTGTGTTTAGACGGTTGCAGTTGATGCCAATAATTTGAGAACTGCAGTACCAATGCATGCTGCTTAAATTTATCTGTAGACTTCAGCCCTTCTTTCCTCTAAACAATACAAGTTCTTTTAACTTTTCAGTCAGTGCAAACTACTTAAGTAAAAAGATGACTCTCCTGCTTTGTTCAGTCTCTTAAAACATATTAAGAATATTTTACATAATCAAAGGCTGAAGATGAATAAACAAGAATACTGTTTTCATGTTTTAAACTGATTTGTAAAAAAATCAATAGAAAGTGCTGCTAAATAGCCCAGAAGAAAATTAAAATGTGAATATTTATCAATATATATTTATGATTTTTAGTTAGTGATTTAAAACACAATTTAACGTTAGCGACCGCCACCAACTCTGCAGCCACTCTGCGCAGTCATCTTATATTAGTTTCATTCCCCCGTCCACCCCTTCTTACAGTGACCTGTACTGAAGGCTGGAGGATAATTAGACCTCTATTTGCCAACCCTAGTCCCTCTCTTCGTGCTGATGCTTTAAGGAAAGTATACAACTGTTTTAGACACCTCTTTATAACTAAAGTAAAGCCACCATTCAATTTGCCAGTAATCAGTTGGTAGCAATTATGGATGGGGTCAAACTTCAGTCTGTGCCCTAAGGAAAAAAATTGTATTTCATTAGTAAATATATGTAGGCATTAGGTGTCACAGGCAATTTTAGCTTCTAAAATAACTCTCAATTTACCTTGACTTGCTTTTAGTTTATTAATACAGACCTTCATGCTGGCTTGCCTGATACTATTGTTTAAAGAGTTTCCAGTTTTATGGTCAAAAGATAAAATGTTTGGCTGACCAGTGGACTTCTTTAGTAATACTGGGCTGATCTTGCCTGGTTTTGGGGCCTTGCTTTCCCTGCCTACAAAAATACCCTGCTGCAAATAACGTATTTACATTCATATTAAGTAAGTGCTTAAGCACTTCTGCTGGACTGGGGTCCAAGGGTTCAGCATCTTCCAGGACTGAGTTGTGAAGACACATCAGGGAAAAGCAGCATCCTTCTTGGCAGAGCGATATGGCCTTCAAGCCAGAGTGCTCAGCGTGTCACCACTGTCTCATACTCTATCCGGTAGTTTACATCTGTGCAGAATGATTGTGAAAGAGTACAAAATCTTAATTGCCTACTCACTCACTTGGGTGCCAGTGTTTCACACACTTTAGACAGCTGTAAATGACTACAAAATTGAAGACAGTAGAGAGTCTTGAACCAATTATATTTGCTTTTACATTCACACTCCATTTCTTTGCATTCCCTTATCTGTCATTTCTGACTGCCTAGGGAAGCGGAAGAGGCTTGGTGCAGCAGGGAAAAAACAGACAAATGCCAGAAAGGGAAATGACATCAATTTGGTGCTTCATGTAGTGTAAATGTTCCTGAGTTTGGCTGCGAGTAAGGGAGAAGCTGCTTCCATAGATGTGTGGGTGCAACAAATGTTTGCATTGCCAAGTGCAACGAAGAGATGGGTGTTGCACAGATTTCAGATGACTGTGGCCTGCATAGAGACCAGCTATATTTGAACCATGAGTTTATCCCATTCCTCTAACAGCTGGCAAGAAAAAATATGTGACAGTAGGGAAAAAAAGACATACTGATAATTTCTTTAATTAACCTTTCTCATTCAGAATAAATGATCCTTTTTTGTCACTGAGGGCTATCAGGTCTCTGGCATCTATAGGCTGTCTCTACCAGTTGAACTCTTGGGTAGAAGTTAAGATCTGCTTAAGATACTTGTTGATCAGATCTGTTGATCTGTCATAAGATTTTAGGAGTATAAGTAGACCAGCTGCAGTTGTAGAATCACTAGTAACATCATTTATGCTCTGAAGTACAAAGTGGTCCCCTGCCGTTTTCTGTAGCAGTGGTGACAGGCATTTATGGGGAGCTAAGGAGTCATAAAAAGCTCTGTACCTTGGTGTGGGACCCACCCTCAGCCTTCCCGGGCACTTTCTGCAAAATACCTGAGGCTGTAGCTCCTTTCTTACTGCAGTTGTTTCACCACAGATGGCTCCAACGCTGTATTCTTCATCTGTCAGTTGTCTGGCAGATACCAGGTACAGTTTTTCACCTTGCTGTTTTTGTTGCCTGAATGGAACAGAAGTGAAATTGTTGTATTAGTGCCTTTTTGGTACAGTAATGTCAATTCTATGTGTACAGAGACAGAGCTGAACACTTGAATTAGTCTTTAATCAGTGTTGCACCTTTTTATGTGAGTTTTACATTTTTAAAATGAATGCTGTTGACTCACATTTTGAGGGCTTAGTTTTATAGCATTGCCTTTCCAAAGGTAGGAAGAGGCTATACTAGCTGCAGCAGATGATGTGCATCAGGAACTACATGCTGCTGCTGTCACTGAGATTCGCAGTGCCTTAATTTGTTCAAGAATAAAATGGAAAAGGTAGTACTTAGACATGTTGTGTATTAGAACTCATGGAAAAAGTACCTGTTATTCCTCCTATTTTGCCATTGTCCTGGAGTTTTAAAATACTCTGTGTGAATTTGCAGTGTCAGTGTCCATTTAAGGTGACTTTAAAAGTCACTGCAATAGTTTTATATTTAATCTGTACTGGTATCTCTGTGGCTTCATTATTTTAGCTATCTAATCATTTCTGATAAATAAGGAAGTAGGAGTTGTTCCTGCTCTAGGACATTTGAGGAAACGTATTCCTGACATGTATGGAAGCTGTAAATGTTGAAAAGCAAGGTTTGTCCCTTGGAAATGTTAGAGAGAATATGTAAGTAAAGGACAAGTTTATTTTTTTTTTTTAAATCAATACAATTGATTGCACTGCAAAAAGTGTCATATTCAATTAAAGTAAATGAAGTAAATATAGGAGTACTTAATTCTTTAGAGGCACTGGGCATGAAGGTATGCTACCAAGTAGCTGAAGGACTCTGCCATTACTCTAATTAAATTTAATATAATAAATTTAAATATTTCTACAGCACCTAATTGCATTGTGCACACTAACCAGTTGATTGGAAATGGTTTGGAAGTCGAATAGAATGGAGTTGGATAAAGGAATTTTAATGCTCCTGTGAATACTTTCTCTCTTTAAATTTCAGTGGACTTCTTAATTAAAAAGCAGTTGACTCTTTTACTGTCTCTGCTGAGTTCTGAGATACTTGGGTTTCTTGGAGAAGGCATCTCATAAAAAAATATATAAAGAAAAATCTTCAAACCCAGGTTTTTACAGGTTTTTTTTCTGAATATAGGGAAGGCTCCAGGTGTGAAGTATAGCCCCAGCTGGTTCGCGTTGATTCACACTTGAGAAAAGTTGATTCACACTGATTTACACTTGAAGACAAGAATCTCAGGAAAAGGGATATGTGGTGGTACCTTGGAAAGCGCGAACATGTGGCAGTGTGTATCTCCTGGTGGAAGGCACAGGGGAAGGTCCATGCATTTGGGAGGTTCTGGCTAACTAAGATAAGGAGAGTAGCACGCGTGTTGCTTCTGTTCCCCTGAGGAACATGAGATCGTTAGTTCTCTGTGTGTGTAATAATCTTTCTCTCTTCGCCCTTTTATTTCTGTACTCACTAGTTTTTAATATAACAATCCCTGTTTAGGTGCCTTGTGAACGTATTTCGGACAACTTGTGGTTGTTGCAGATAACCTGTTCCCTGCAAAGAAATTGCAAAGTTAGCCCCTGAACAAAACAATAGCACAAAGCTGCTTTAATTTATTCCCAGCTCCGTGTAGTGTGACACCCCTGTCTGGTATCTTAAAGTTTCAAAATTCAATGTCAATGAAAATGTTTTAATTTCTCTTTCTAAATACTGTGCACCAGAAAGCAAGCTCCGTTCTCTTCTGCTAGGAAAGATACCTGGTCCGGGCTTATAAACTCTCTGCCTACAATAGTTTTGACGTGTTTGCAGATGCACCATTTCACTATGGTGGAGTGAAGCAGGGAATATAAATTCAATTCCAGAGAGGTCTTTCTCTCCGTTGTTCTGTCTGTGTCTTAGGACAACCTTCTACAGGTTTTGCCTCCAATCAATAAAGCAATCAGCAGGGAAATGTTGCCATGCAGAAGTAGACTAATTAATATAATTTAAGATAATTTTTTGGAGTAGATTTCTATGTTTACCTCAAACAACTTTGCAGCTGTTTTCCCTTTCTGTAAAATAATGGTGTCAGGTGTTCCAGTGATTCACTTGATGAGGTGATGTTGATTCTATTTCTATAATTTCCCTATACCTGTTAATCCTGATGAAATGCAAACTTTCATCACTTGGCCAAAATAATTCTGTTTATCTACAAAGGAATTTAACAGACTGAGTTCAAAAGTTTAATAGTAAACCAGGATTTTTACAGTTTCTTTTTTTTTGTTGGTATGCAATGTTAATTCCAAGTGATCTTAATTAATGGCATCTTCTGAGATTGTGGTGGGTTGACCCTGGCTGGAGGCCAGGGGCCCACCGAAGTTGCTCTGTCGCTCTCCTCCTCAGCTGGACAGGGGAGAGAAAATATAGTGAAAGGCTCATTAGTTGACATAAGGACAGGGAAAGATCACTCACAAATTACCATCATGGGCAAAACAGACTCAACGTTGGGAAATTAGTTTAAT